CACTAAAATAATAATGAGTTCGAATGCTTTTTAACTCTTATTGTTTAGTCGTAGTCATAATATGAAGTCAAACAATGTCGAACGACTGAATATATTCTCTTGTAAGATCAATCGATTCTATTATTGTGTCCGTAAGATATTGTTACTCTTGAGATATTCAATAACTCTGTTACTATATGTTCGTTTGAGCTAAACTTTGTAGAATATTCTAATGTCACTGAAACCTATATATGAATAAAATATTAGATTCAAATATCATAAATTAATGCCTAACTGAAATGATAACATTACAGTTGCACTCTAGATAGTTGCTCTCGTGACACGTGTTCTCGTGATATTGGACACTGCTGGTGAGAATAAGAGCAATGGGAGTGTCATGGAGGAGATTAAGGTGATAGGACGGACGAATGAAAATGTCAGGGCATAGGTTGAGGTCAGGACAACGGCGAAAAGAAAAATGAACAACAAGATGTCTATATATATATAGAACTTTATTACTTTTCGAATTGGTTTTTAATTGCTCATAATCCTAACATTGAGCTGTAGGAAAGAAAACCATCATGGAAGTAACTATTGTGAATTCAACTAAAAGACTAAAAACCTTAATAAAATGGCTATAACACTGACAGGGTAAAGTATGCATCTAAATCCATTTAGAATTCAAGTATTCTGATTAAATTCTGTTTATGAGTCAATTTGTATAAACAAGATTGATATTCGAAATATTCCATCATGAGTATTATTTATATTCATTCGTATAATTAATGTTTTGAAAGAAATACTTCATTGAACAAATAATGATCTATAAGAATATTCATCGATTAAGAAGATGCTTAGAACTGTATCATTTTTAATCATATATTTGAAACCAATTATTAATTATTGATTGTTCTATTAATAAAGTATAAATATTTTTAATTTAGCACAAAAATTAGTGTAATTACTATTACTCTTCATTAAAAACAAAAAAAAAACTATTTTATGATATAATTATGCATAAAATAATATTTATCTATAGTTATGAAAATCAAAAATGATGATATTTAAAAGAAATTTTAACTTACCTCCTAATAAAATATTATAAATTGATACATAATAATTTGTTAAAATTAATAATTTTGAAAATATTTTTAAACTTTTTTTCTCAGATAATGTAAAAAAAAATATTTTTGTTTTGATCGATAATATATTGAATAATAAAAAAAACAAGAAAAGTTAGAATTCTCATGCATTTTTCGTTTTAAGTGTGGTATGTCAAACTAGTGTTTGGGGAAAAAAGAAACTGGGCAAACAAAGGGAAAACACACACACACACACACAGCATACAGTTGCCTACACACGACAAAAAAAAAACAGAATAAACCGTATAACAATAACAATAACAATAGTTCTCATTATCTTTTTCATTCAATTTTTTTAACCCATATTCATTGCTTTAGCAGCATTCGATGGTTCAGCTGATGATTTTGGTACTTTAATTGTTTCATCAACACTTAATATTAAACAAGCAGCTTCACTTGCTGCTGTTATAGCATTAATTTTAACAACTGCTGGTTCCCATACAGCTGCAGTCAAATTATCACTAACATCTTCATGCATTATATCAACACCAAACCAAATATGATCTATATATCAAACAAAAAAGATAATATCAATCTTTCTATTTGTTTTTTGTTTTTTTAAACTTTACTTTCTGCATGTTTTTGTCGAAGTTTATTTAAAATATTTGTTGCATCAAATCCAGCATTTTCACATAATTGTCTTGGTATAACTTCAAATGCTTTAGCATATGCAGCTATAATTAATTGTTCTTTACCTGGTACTGTTCGACTATAATCACGTAATGTACGACTTAATGCCATTTCAATAGCACCACCACCAGCAACAATTGAATCATTTTTAACAGCACGTCGTACAATCATAATAGCATCATGTAATGAACGTTCAACTTCATCAATAAATTGTTCAGAACCACCACGTAATATCATTGTTGCTGTTTTAGCTTTTGGACAACCAGTAAAAAAATTATAACGTTCAGAACCAATTTGTGTTTCTTCAAATAATTCACATGTACCAAATACATGTTGAGATTGATCATTAAGATTTTCAACAGTTGTTATTATTGCACCACCACATGCTTTTTGTGTACGTTTAAGATCATCTTCTTGTACACGACCAGCACAAAACATATCTCTATTAAAAATTAAAATAATAATAATTCAATATTTCAGAGGAAAAAAAAAAATTTTTGTTTTTTTTCTCGAATTATCTAAAAAATAAAATAAAATTCATTTACCGATCAGCAAAATATTGTGTTGCAACATCACCAATAGGTAATTTTGAAAGAACAACATTAACACCAGCTTTATGTAATTTTTCAAGTTTATCATAAAGTATTGACCATTCAGCATCAATAATTTTTTGATATTCCTAATATAATATGAAATAAAGAGATATTATTTTAATGATAGAAAAAAAAAAAATCTTACAGCAACATTATCAAGACGAATTTCTGCATTATCACGTTCAGCTTTTAATTCAAGTTCAATATTAAGTAAAGCAATTATAGGTTTTAAAAATTTTTTATGTTGCATTTCAAAACCAGCATATGAAAATGTTTTTTTAAATGCAACACCATCAACAAGACGTGATTCCTAAATAAATCAAGAATTAAAATGAATATATTTCATTATTCAACAAAAATATTCTACCTCAAGTGAACCACCAGTTATTTTTTTAATACCAATCCTAGAAAATAAAATTTTATTATTTATAAAATATAAGAGAATACATAAAAAATCCACTGAAATTTATTTAAACCAACTTCATCAAATCATTATTTTTATTACGAATGGATTTAATTTAAGAATAAATAGACAACCCACACTCTAAAAAATTTCCGTATTGTGAGAAACCGACCTGAAAGGGTTTCCGAACGCTCGGAAACCCAAATCCGTTTCCGACATTGACTCGAAAACCCTTAATAGGTTTCCGATAGTAACAAACTCGGAAACCGAAAAAGGTTTCCGAGTCTCGGAAACGGTTTATTTTGTCGGAAACCATTTTCGGTTTCCGAGTTTGTTACTATCGGAAACCTATTAAGGGTTTCCGAGCTTTCGGAAACCCATCTTTTTTCTTCGAAAACCCTCAAAGGGTTTCCGAGTCAATGTCGGAAACGGATTTGGGTTTCCGAGCGTTCGGAAACCCTTTCAGGTCGGTTTCCCACAATACGGAAATTTTTCAGAGTGCAGGTAGGGATATACCGAGACCCAGAGTTCGGCCTCGGTCTTGATTATGCTTAATCTCGATCATTTCTTTATCATAGATAAGTGTGCTACTCTGTCTCGGGCGAAATTATATTTCTTTAAGCTTTTCGGCTGAGATTGACCGAGACCGAGAGTCTCGGTACATCCCTAAACCCAGGTTGATCACTCTGACCGTCGGAAACGGCGTCTTATCTGGCTATAAAACGGTGAATTACTGCCTTAATTTTGTCCTTATTTCGCCGTAATCCGTCATACCGTTTTTATCGCTAGAAAACGGCCATCGTTTTCCCCCCGGTTTTGCTTTCGTAATCTGATATGACGGAATACGGCGTCGTTTTACATCGTTATTACGCTGTTTTATTGAATCTGGAAAGACAAAATACAAATTTTCATAATTCTTTGATAGAGACAACTATTTTGTGTATAAAATCATCAATAGATTGTTTAATTTAATGAGATATAGATCCAATGTATTGTTAGAAGAATTTTTCTTTCGGTGAAAATTAAATTTATCTACAAAATCCTTTCTATTTTCTATATATCTAATATCTTTAATCACATTTATAATATAACATGTTCCTTTCATTGATATATAATTCAATAGAGTATGTTCAAGAAAAGTTCTAATGAGTTAATATAATCTTATACACTTCTGTATATTATTCAAAAAATAAAACAAAATAATTACATATTTAATGGAAGTAATTCATCTAACATAAGAACAGCATCAACAACCATTTTTGAAAAAAAATCTCGTTGTCGTGCTATTAATTTTGAACTTAATGTTGTACGTGCACATTTTTCAAGTAAAGCACGATGTTCTCTAGTAAATGAAATAAAATTTTTTTTTTTTATCAATTTCAAATTTTTTTTTGTTTCTTACTTAACATCATCTGATTTGATATTAACAGCTATTTCTTTTATTTTTTTAATAGCTAATGCTGTAGCTTTTCTTATAGCACGAATAATTATAGTTGGATGCATACCATCTTCAATAAATGATTTTGTATTTTTTAATATTTCAGCTGTTAATAAAACAACTGATGTTGTACCATCACCAACTTCAGCATCTTGAGATTTAGCTATATCAACAAGAGTTCGAGCTGCTGGATGAACAATTTCAAGTAATTTAAGTATTGTTGCACCATCATTTGATATTGTTGCTTTACTACGATTATCAACAATTAATTTATCCATACCACGTGGACCTAATGTTGTACGTATAGCTTCAGCAACAGCTTGACATGCACTTATATTTGATAAAATTTGAGATTTTCCTTGTGAAGAATCAGTACCTTCTTTAAGAATAATAATCATTGGTTGCATTGCTTGAGTTTATTTTTTTTTTGATTTGCAAAATAAAAAAGAAAAGTTTTCTAAAAATTTAATGGAAGCAACATAAATAAAAATAAAAACGAAACCTTAAATTAAGATAAAAAGACTAAGCAACAATAGATCGATTGAAAAAAGACATAAACATAAGGTAACTAAGTAAAATTCAATTGGATTATTAAAGTAGAATTATTATTATTCAATAAAATTCTTTTCTTTTTGAATTATAGAATATCATTTTATAAATTAAAAATTTACTTAGAATTTATAATAAAACTTCTATTATTTGTTTTTTTTTCTTTCATATAGATGTCGTTAGTAACACATGTTCTGATAACATTTGCTAAACTTACTAGTTAATAATGATAAGAATGAAAACAGACAGACATATCATTTTATAATATGTTACAATTAATAGATAATGCACGAGAAGGTTTTCTTTGTCCACAATGTCATCAAGATATGTCAAATATGGAAATGTTACAATTACATTTTCAAAATGTACATATGAAACAACCATTGACAACGGTTAAAGGTATTCTATCCTTATTGAATCTATGTTAGAATTCTTTATAAGATATGAACAAAGCCCATGCAACTGGGACCGGTGGGTGAAGAGGTGTACACAAGGAGGAAAAAGCGAAAATGCCGTACTCCTTCATAACTGTGCATCAGATCTGTTTAGCTATTTCAAGTCTTCTATCGACCTGTGTTACGGTATATTCGCCGGAGTCCAGTCTGCATAAGTCTATCTGAGTGTAAAGCCCAAATACTTCACCGTACTCCCACTTTGGAAGTACAATGAGGTATTTGGGCTTTACACTCAGATAGACTTATGCAGACTGGACTCCGGCGATTATACCGTAACACATGTCGATAGAAGACTTGAAATAACTAAACAGATCTGATGCACAGTTATGACTTAGTCTGAAAGTACGTTGAAGTACAGCATTTTCGCTTTTACCATCTTGGACATACACCTTCCTCATCGTCGATAGGCATGGATTTTTTCCTACATTGCGGTAGATCTCTATAGAAATCTGTCAAACTTACACCTTCGTTCACAATTTTCGAGAGAATCCTGACCGTAAGTAATGCAGAAAAATAGATTTGATAATATGCTGACAATTTATCTTAGTCAGTTTCTATGACGTCGATTAGATGCTTTTTATCAATTTCCTCAACATTGTTGCTAGAGTTTCGATAAGGGGAATTATAAAAGATGATGAATTACGTAGCATTCTCAACTAGAGAGATGTCCTAAGATGTGTGTTGTTTTCAGGGAATCCAATTGTTGCTGTGGGAAGCGTTTGGTATTGTTGATAACTTCAACATGCATTTTAACGGATAGAAAAATATAGAACAAATCGTATATCTCTATTTCATGAATCAATTCCTTCCTTGAGATTATATCTTAAACCTTCAATAGCAGAAATTAAAATAAGATTCTGACAAATAATAAAAAGCATTATACACTGACATCATACTATTTTCTCATCTCTAATAATATGCAAGGAAATATTTAATAAACAAGTATTTAAAATCTTTTATTAATTCAAATCATACAAAAAATCTTCGATAGAAACTATATGAGCTATCTTATTGATCAATCTTAGAGAAAAATCAATTTAATAGAATTTCTTATTTAAGGTTTATTTTCATTGGCAAAACAAAAATTCAAAAGTGTTCAAGATAATTTTCAAAATTCTAATGAACTATCAAAAACATATGCACAATACTTTTCATTTAATTTAAATTATTCTCATACAAAGAAACAATCTATGGGATATGCTCGTTCATATAATCATTATTTTCAAAGTTTACGAAGAGATAAACGTAATCAAATATCTATTCATACAAGACAACTTTTACTTCGAATTGAATTATTAACTAATACTAATGAACATATACCACCGAATGGAAATAGTAAAGAACGTCGAAGTATATTAATTGAAATTTTTATTTTTTTTTGTTCTATTTAAAAAAAAAAATAATTTATTTTACATAGAATATGAACAAAGTATTTATGCATGGATGGAAGATTCTGTTGCATCAATTTGTGCATCATGTTCGAAAACATTTGGTTTATTTCAACGAAAACATCATTGTCGTCTCGATGGATCGGTGATTTGTAATCAATGTTCAGAATTTCTTTCATTTTCTACAGCTCGTAAAATATTACTTTATTATTTAATTTTTGTAAGAACTTACATTAAGTTTTTTCATCGAAAAAATACAATGAGTATAAATTTTAAACATGTGTCACACTCATTTTCTGAAGTATCTTAGCAATATAGAGAGGCATTGAATAATATTGATCATAAGACTTACGAGGAAGCATTCTCAACTGTCACATCACTTTTAAATCGAGCATATGTGAATTATGTAGATCCTAACGATCTATGAATTCTCTGAAAAAAGTTCGTGCTGCTAGCTTATTATTGCTGAGATACTGCCTTTTTACTGTATGTTTAAGAAAAGAGAGCTGTGGTCCCCCTCAGGAACACTTGGAAAATTGAATTTTGAATTTCAATTTCAAACTTTGCATCTCAATGAGAATACTTTATTGTGAAAGTTTCAGCTTTTTTTTCGTTGCACCTATCCCAAGATACAATTATCATAAAATTGCTCATATACCCCAGCGGATCCGATGTTCTTATCTCAGACTAGGAGCAACCAAAAAATCTGAAACATTCACAATAAACTGTTCTCATTGAGGCCTATATACATGCAAAGTTTCAGGCTGAAACTCAAAACTCACTTTTCCTGAGAGGGACCACGGCTTTTTCCGAAACATATAGTAAAAATGCTATATCCCAGCAGTAAGAAGCTAGCGGCACGAACTTTTTTTGGGAGGATTCATAGATCATTAGAACCTACATAATCCTCATACGCTCGACTCAAAAGCGATGTGACACTTGGGAATGTTCCTTCGTTAGATTGTGCAAAGTCTTTCTAGAAAATCCAAACAGCTGAAATAAATTTGTGAATGTTCTAAATCATTCAGTTTTTTTTTAAAAATTTTTGTACACTCGTCATCTGATCAACATAATAAGCATGAATTGATCAAGTTATAACATAGGAAAATAATTAATATTAGTGTTTCTGAGTCTATCGAGATATATGGTAGTGTGTTGAGGTCTACTGTTGCTAGGAAACGGCGGATCCTTACAAACACGGCTTCGGATCCATTAAAACGTGGATTTACAGGTCCCGAGTTGATTGATCTCATGTACATACATGCAGAATTTTGTTTATCAGCTAACTGCTCAATTTCCTTTTTTGTTAACATAACGAACTTTTCCACTAAGCAAAAACTTGTAATTTACTAAGTATCAAATGATAGGAAAGTATCAATGGATGTGTGCAACAGACTTATTTGCCAATTAAAGTAATGGTTCAAATAATCATAATAATGTTAAATTAGAAGAAAAAAACTACGAGCGAATAACAGCAAGACAAATAAAAAATATATATTACCACTAAAAAACAAACTTTCTTTTTGAACTATAGAAATAAATAAGATATTATTCTGAGAACGTACCTACAGTGTTTTTATGTTAGTTTAATGAGGATAAAGCATATATATGAGTTCTACATTTTAGACTGCGGGGGAAAAGTTTTTGTTTTTTATTAGGATGTTTTATCGATACAAATACATCATCTTTTTCAACAACAAATAATCTTGCAGTTGAACAATTAATTAATCTAAAAACTATAACTTCATCAACAATTATTAATGATAAACAAAATGAAGATTATCTTCGTATTTGTATACCTTGTACAAAATATTTATATAATTTTTATCGTCAAATATGTTTTAAAAATATTCAAAAAGATGAAATATTTCTTCATTATGAAGTAAATTTTTATTTTTAATAATAGAAAAAAAAAGCATGTTTCTTTAGAAAATTATTGAAGCACAAAAAGAATATAATCATTTACATCCAACATATTTAACTATAATCAATTCTCTTTTGTAAGAATCTTTATTCAAATTAATTAATAAAAATGAAATATTTTAAAAGTATCATTTAACAGAAATGGAGATACTAAATATCAAATCATTGATGCTCAACGTACATATCAACAATTAAATGTTAGTTATGGAAAAATTGATTCAATATCGTATGTTTTTTGTTTTTTTTTAAACAAATATCGATAAAAATTTAAATTTATTCTTTAATTCATTTTAGAAAATATATTGTTAAATTAGCAGATAAATCTTCAAATATAAATGAATATGATCCTACATCAAAAAATCGTTATACTACAATTTGTCATAATATTCGTACATATTCAATACAAATTTTAAAAAATTTTTCAATATCAACCAGACGTGTACCAAATGAAGATGATATAAAACAAGTACGTGATGAAAAAAAACGTTTAGATCATGAACGTATGAAACAAATTATTTTCAATATTCCAAATATTAATCATAATTCATTAGAAATATCAGAAGAATTAGAACCATTTATTCAACAATATTATCAAGTTATACAATTTATTGAACGAGCTAAATTAGCTGGACATGATGATGAAGTAAGATCATTAGAATTAAATTTAAAAGAACTTGCACAAGCTATGAGTACTGTTCATCAAAATTGACATTTAATTCTTTTCATTTGACTTTTTAATAATGTAAATAAATTCTTTCGATTAGAAATATAAGTTTTGAATGATAGAAAAAAAGCAACTGGAATAAGAAACAACTTGCACTGACCGGGAATCGAACCCGGGTCACCCGCGTGGGAGGCGAGCATTCTACCATTGAACCATCAGTGCACATGATTGAGTTTAGTACACTTATATGAGCTTTTATGTCAGAATTCATAAAGTCATTGTTTTAATTACTCTTTTGAGTTCCAGCGTACTTTATAAAGTATATTCTTTTCAAGTTGCCTTAAGTTTTGACTAACTCACAAAATGGGTCCAAGTGAACTTTCTTGACCATACTTTATCTATGGAAATCTAAAAATATTTGAGAATATCTGATGCAATTTTTAAACAAAAATAATATCTCTTAATTGAGTTGTGAATTTTTTATGGCAGGACGTCTCTAGTGAATATACTGAGTTCAGTGTACTCGCGACTACGAGTATGTCACAAGAACTTTAATTCTTTAGAGTACTTAGTGAGTTTTTGCATTTGACGAAAAAAGTTCTTTTAAATGTTCAATATAATAACTCGTTGAAAATTTTTTTTCATCGAAACGTTATAGAAACTGGGAGAGTATCTAGTAAATATTCATCTACTAAGCCAATTCTGAACAGATATTCAATCAAGATCTTGTAAGTTACTAGTACCAAAGTACATGAATATCTCGAATTTAATACTTATCGTAGAAATGAAGAGCGTAAGAACTAAATTTTGATATTGCCAAAAAAACCAACCAGATTCTTTTTCATTTATATCAAATAACGAGATTTTATTATTGCAGAGCTATGATGAATCAATGGGCTGTTTCAGACAAAATGAGGCATATGTATTTTTTTTATTTAACTTTGATGTTTTACAAGGTTTGTTTTAGAAATATTTCTTCAATCATATGAAAAAAAAAGTTTCGATACTTTTAGGATAGATTCTACACGATGAATCACATCTATAATAAAATTTTCACAAAGATCGGACTCCAGAAAACTTCTCATCGCATTTTTTGCGTGCTCGCCTATGTCACTAACAAATAATTTTGCGCAAATAGTTTATCAAGCGACTTAAGAATCAAATATTCTACTAGAATCTCAAAAAACAAAATCAATGTTACTAATCCTTCGAGTAAATATGTAATAAAGATGGAAAGGGATTAGTATTAAGCACTGGTGGTTCAGTGGTAGAATGCTCGCCTGCCACGCGGGCGACCCGGGTCCGATTCCCGGCCAGTGCATTTTTTTCTGTTTCCTCTTTCTTTATCCTTTTATACCATTGATTAATCGTAAAACTAGAGCTTTAGATTGAAAAATTTTTCACATGATTTTTTTGATTTATTTTTCTTAATTTTTAAGCATATTAAAATTTTCTTATTCATTTAATTTAATTAATAAATATATCATGATCGTAGTTAGATAAAAATAGTTTAATTATTAAGATCATTTTGATTTGTATTAAAATGTCAATAAAAAAAAAAAATCTTTCATCATTTAATACCTTTCTAATCATATGTATGACTCATTTCTTTGTCTTTTATATAACTACATAGAAAACAGGTATAAAACATACTAGGCCTCTTGTAGTATTCGACAGTTTCTCATTTAAAATTTATTTTCTGTTTCGTCATTTATTGTGAATTACATAAACGAACATCGTTATCAATATTAGAAGAATACTTTTTGTTGTTATATATTTATCTTTTTTAGATTAACTTAAAAATTATTATCATTATCATTTTCGTTTGTTTTGATTTTGATAAAAAAAAATATCTATGTTAATTTTAAGGTAGCGTCAAAAGTATAGTGTGAGTAGGTTTATATCAGCACTGGTGGTTCAGTGGTAGAATGCTCGCCTGCCACGCGGGCGACCCGGGTCCGATTCCCGGCTAGTGCAGTATTTTTTTTCTTCTTTACAATACATATTTCGTTTCACTTGAGTGAGTATACACGAAACGCAATGTCACACTACACTTTTTCTTTTGCCCTTTATAACGTTACGAATGAAGATTCATAATATTTAGACAATAATTATTCGAGGTTAACTATAGTCTATTTCACAGCTAAATGTCTGAGGACATTTTTAAATAGCTTTAAAATAAAAAGAGAGAAATAGTTCGGGTTTTAGTGTTATCTAGAATCAACATTCCTCTATCTTTTTTTAAGGGCCAATGGAAAATTTCAGTTGGCTTTATTTTTGAGTACAGTGATTTATCTACTGGATAGGCTAGGTGAGCGCCGCCCACCCGAAATTTTGATTCGTCCACTAGAAAATATACAGCAGCCATTCATCTACTGGGTGGGCCGAGTGGGCGCCGCCCACCCGAAATTTCGATTCGCCCACTCGGAAAACGAAACCTAGATAAAACACTGCTTGAGTACATCATGAGTTTTAAAGATAGTCTTTATTTACTTTGAAAATAAGATTCTTTCTTAACTATTAATATAATGGACTGATAAACTAACTTGTTTTTTCATTGATCTATACAATGCCAAAATTAATAACGGTTTTTCTGCAAACATCATTATTCTCATGTCTCTGTACCAATCACACACTGTACCTTGATGTCTATTGAGTAAATCTGAACTAATATAAAAGCATACAAACGATAAAAACAAAAATATTTGCTTTGAATGAAGTGAATAAATTGCCATAAGAATAGATTTATGTGCGTTGAAAACAATCAGTCATGTCAAACAATGTTAGACAATATTTAAAAATGTTGATATTTATGTCGCAGAGATTGATGCAGACTTAAGAGAACTATTTGAAATTATTAATGTATTATAATTAAAATAAATTCTATAGCTAGTTAGTAGAAAAAAAATTTCCGTAGATAAGTAAGTCATATCATGAAGTCAAAGGTAACTAGAAACTTACAAAAGGAGGGTGTTGGTGTAAGTATCAGTGTAAAGAAGAAAATACCTACACCCATACCCAGATTATCATACTTTGAAATACTTTTAGGCATTTGTGCTTTACATTAATGGAAATGAATATATCATTTCAAAGTTTTGAAAAACTTTATTGTTTTTTTTATACAGTTATTCCATCTTCAAGGGGCTAAACGAATAAAATCAATCGTATTTATATAAATTCAATCTTCATTTTATTTAATAAAATAATATAAAATAGTGTGCTAAGATATTTTTTTTTAAATCATAATTATTTTATCAAGAACTGTGAGTGTAGAAAAAATAAGACTCGCAGTAACACCCAACATCGCAGAAATTTAGCCACCAGAAGAGTAGACAAGTCTTTTATTTGTCGAAATTATTGCTTCTGTTGTTGGAAAATGTGGTTCTCTTGAATAAAAGTCGATTTTGAAATATGATGGATTATAATCCACAAGATCCGAGAAAAGCATACGCTATAAATACAAAGAAGTGCCGAGAAGCACAAAAAAGTATACAGAAGTATGGAGAAATGAGAAGTGTGCTTTATGTTCCTTGGATTTAAAAAAAGAACAATGAGAAGCGTAGTTATTCTTAGATTTTAGTCAATGTATAGTTCAAACAGTGCTTCATGTGTCGATATCATAAACACTAACCAATGAAATATTTGTGCGCGAATATTATGATTTTCCTAGATCACTTTTTATAAAAAGAATTGAACCTTTTGTTAGGTTCCGATTCCGCACATCTCTAGACATGGGACTTATTTCGGTCGCATCCACCAACATTCACACACACTCACCGACACTAATCGCCGTTCATACTTGAAACCGGATCAGTCGATTCGGTTGAAGTTTTGAAAATCGAACGGTTTGAGTAAAATCTGAAGCACTTCTAGTTATGTACCCTTTATTTATATTCTATTAATTACTCAAGAATAATCAAAAGAATTGATTTGCAGAAGTTTCTTGTTTTACACACATATTTTATTTAAGAGCAAAAAAAAATCGGTTTCATCGCTTTTTGATAAGCACATGGTTATTTGAGAAAAAGAAAAAAAGGTAAACAAAAAAGCGAATGACAAGACGAAAAAAAAATATATATATAGAAGAAATGACTTAACATACAAATTTAATAAAATAAATATTTATGTATAGATCTTCCTATTTTTAAGCAACATATTCATATATATTAGCATTATCCGTTGATCGTTTCATATATTCACGTTCAAGTAAACTTTCAATACGTGTTTTAACAATTGCTGTCTAAATAAAAAAAAATAAAATTCAAAAAGGAATGTTTTTTTCTTTATTAAAACAAAAATTTATTCATACTGATATTGGAAATTTTAATTGAGCAAAAACTTCAGATATTAATTGAGCATGTCCAAGTGTTTTACGTGTTTTCATTATTCGTACAACAGCTGCATCAATTTGATAATGACGATCTTGTACAACACGTTCTGTTGTTGAAGTATTTTCTTCAGGCTACAAAAAGAAGCAAAATTTCTTTTGACAAAAAAACAAAAATTAAATATTTTTTCTACGAACTGTTTCTTTTAATTGTACTTGATTTATTTTTATACGAATTAATTTATGATCAAATGATGTATTTAATGTAAATCGATCAGTTATATTAATATCTTTACTCTAGAAGAAGAAAAAAAATAAATAATTATCAACATTAAAAAAACAATGTTCTTTACTAATGGTTTTTTATTTAATAAACGAATTTTTCCACAAGCTAATGATTGTAAAGTTCGTTGTAATTCTGCTTCTTCTACAAAAAAAAATATATAAGAATAAATGTTTAAAATATAAATAAAATAATAATTTAATATAAATGATTACGAACGAATTTTCGTTTGTTCTTGAATATCTTTATAACTAAGATCAATATGTTGATTAAAAAGAAGAAGAACAAGTGCTTGATAAAGTGATACTTGAAATTCTTTGATTGTCTAATAAAAATAAAAAACATATATTTTATTTTGAATTTTAATTTTTGAATTAAACCTTTTCTTTTAACCATCCTTTTAATAAACAATGATCTAATGAATATTGCCATTGA